GGGTAAGTGGCTGTGGCAAAATCAGCTAAGCAAGACTTAAACAGTCATGGCTACTGATGTCAACTACTTTTGGAATAGATTTCCTCTTGTTACTTCAACATAAATGATGCCCTAATTGCAAAAGAAAAAGCATCTCCTGTAGCCAAGTGAGTAGTAGCCATGGCAACCACATAAGTATCCAAAACCATGGCCACATGGCTCTCCCCTCCCCTCCTTCCCTCCCCTCTTCTCAGGTCCCCTATCCTCTGTCTTCTCCTCCCCACTCTCCTCCTCTTTCTGCATCCCCTCCCCTCCCTTTCTTTTCCTTCCCCCTTTCTTTCCCTTACTTTCCCTTCCTCCTTCCCTATCTACCTCCCTCCCTCCTTCCCTTTTCCTTCTTCTCCTTCCCTTTCCCCTTCCCCTTCCCCTTCCCCTTTGCCTCCCTCCCTTCCTCTCTTCCTCCCTCCCTCCCTCCCTCCTTCCCTCCCTTCCTTCCTTCCTTCCTTCCTTCCTTCCTTCCTTCCTTCCTTCCTTCCTTCCTTCCTTGCCTACCTCATCATCTACTTATGCCTACTTACTTGTTATATATATGTAGATCTCTCTCTCTCTCTCTCTCTCTCTCTCTCTCTCTGTTGGGGCCTTAACCACTTTACATTCACAGTCTTCTATGAATTATATAAGATTAAAAATAGAAAACAGTAGTTATTTTCCTATGCACATGTATTTGAGCTATGAAACACAGGGAGATTTTTTTAGTGATGAGTGAGCCAAGAAAGAATTCTAAGAACAAGGGACATTTGAGTCAAAGTCTGAAGCATGCAGGCCACGAAGAAGTCAATGAGGGAGGATAATAAGCCATCTCATTACCATGACTGGGAGATCTGAAATAACCCATCAGATCTGGTGAGGAAATACTTTCAAAGAGAGAGACATGGAGAGGGCTGGAGAGAGAGAGAGACAGAGAGACAGAGACAGGGAGAGATAGAGACAGAGAGACAGAGACAGAGAGAGACAGAGACACAGAGACAGAGAGACACAGAGAGAGACAGAGACAGAGAGACAGATAGAGAACTGGCTAGGAGTGGAGGAAGCACTCAGCTCTTGTGGATTTGTGCTTCTGACCTTGAGCTTCTTTCTCTAAAAGAAAGAAGCTTATTGATAAATACACTCCTTATTCATTTAACCAAAGGAGATACGAATTAAGATAACATGTGTAAGACAAGTGTCTTATACAACATAGTACAATATAGTCCTGCAGTAGTACAATATAGTACTGCTTGAGGGGATTATGTTCATTATTTCATGAGAGTTTTGTCTAGAAGATGCTTGGCAGAAACTAACGAAGCAGTACACTGTAATGGGGAAATTTATGTACCTCTCAATTTATGGAAAGCTCTAGAACATAATTCAAATGGATATTCAAGATTTACTATTTAGCAAATTTTTATCTTGATAAAAACACCTTACTATAAGATGATACTTGAAGTATACGTCAGTACAATGGTAATCCTGAAAGTACAACGTTTCCTTACTATGGGATTATATTTGGACTCTTCTGGAATTTCCAAGAAAATCATGTGGTCTTTAGCTATGACAGTATTCTAGCATGTTTCCATGTGTTGCGCTTTTGAAATACAACACAGTCATCCTGTAACTGCTGACCTTAAAACATGCACAATGTCATGCCCTGTAGTGTGACTTTGATATTGAGGATTTAGTAATACATTTCTATACAAAATAGCTCAGCCAGGGGCTACAATGGTCACCAGAAAGGTAATTTATTTTCTGAAAGGTTTAGCTTCTTCATCACAAAAGTTTTTAATTATAATATATATGTATTTCCTAAAGAGCCATGTACTTTATATTACAGTTGTTATACCAAATTCTGATGAAATCAGCATTCCAATAGAAATAAATATGGATGTCCCACAAACTAATATAAATGAGAATTTGAAACTATGTGGTATTAGAAAATTGAAATCAAGGGAGACACATTTATTGCATTCTATTCCTCACCAAGTAGCAATGAAACAAAAAAAATGCTTAGAAAAAGAAACTATTTTTGCTTTTTAACTAATAGCTTGTTTATTAGTGGCACACTAACAATGAAACATGGAATTAGTCATTTGTATTTTTACTGGAGAAATGTTAAGTATAAACTATGTGTCAGGAGTGCATTCAGATCTGGTTAATCATGGCTGCACAAAACTTTATGGCTCAGTATCCAGAGATGTCATGGAAAGGCATGACTAGTGACACGTCTAGATAAAAGACTTTTTTCCCAAGGTTTTCTGAGAGAAAATCAAATCTAAGGATATCATGCTCTGAAAGTGTGTGTTGCCAATGGTATTGCAAAGCAAACTGTCAATACCAGGGAGATAGAATTTATAATTTATAATTTTATAATTTTGAATTTCCAAAATAATAAAAGGGTAGGAAACCAAGGGAAGAGAGATATTGGAATAGGGATTAATTTTCATTCATTGTTGGGAATAAATCAGCAAAGAGATCAGATAAGACTGGTGACTAATATTGGAACAAAATAGGAAGAATACTCAACAGAAGGAAAAATGATAGGAAGGTTTTCAGAGAATGAAATCAACAGTTTTGTGAGAATCCCTGTCCAAATTTTTCAATAAAGTAATGGATTACCATTCATGCCTTATTATCTAAATTCAAGTGTCTGAATTCTCTTTTTTCTATTTTTTTTCTTTTTGCTTATGTGGTGCTTAGGAATCGAACCCAGGGCCTCAAGCATGCAAGGCAAGTGCTCTACCGCTGAGCCACCTTCCCAGCCAAGTGTCTGATATTCTCGAGTTTATATTCACCCCCAAATTGAATTTCATGGCTACTAACATGAAAGATAATTGAAAAATTTAGATTCTGCCTGATTCTGAAAATAATGACAAGTCAAATCTAGGCAAGTAAGATAAGTAAAAATAAACAACAAAACAAAAATATAGTTTTTATTTTACCCCTTTAAAGTGCTGTTTTATGACAGGAAGGTAAGATATTGGGGGTAGAGTGAGAATAAACAGTATGTTTCAATCAGACACTTGTGGATACAGCTATTTATCAATAATAGCTAGAAAGGTGGATTGTTAGAACTCACCATTACTGACATTTGGAATCAGGTATTTTTGGTTATTGGTGACTATTTTGTAGCATTTTGATCATTCCTGTTGTTATCATTAGATACCAGAAATCTCAGAAATAAAAAATATAGATCATTTTTTTTTTTGGTGCTAGTAGTGGGTCTTGAACAGTCTGGGTGTTTATTTATTTATTTATTTTTCTCAAGGCCAGTACTCTACCACTTGAACCATAGGCCTGCTTCCAGTTTTTTGGTGGCTAATTGAAGATAGGAATCTCACAGACTTTCTGCCTAGTCTGGCTTTGAACTGCTGTCCTCAAATCTCAGCCTCTTGGACTAGTCAGGATTATAGGCATGAACCAATGGTACCTGGCCCCAAGTTGAGCCAATTGAAACTTTCTCCAGAGATTTCCAAATGTCTCCCAGAGGACAAAAATAGCCATTGTTGAGAGTAGCTGACACATGTGTGACATTCTTTCAGTGTTTCTATTCCTCCTGTAGAGGAGAGAAAGGAAAGTCCTGAAGTAGAGACGTTAGGGCAGCCCTGAGAGGAGGGCCCTGTCCTTTTTGGGAAGCCACTATACGTGTGCTGTATAGGATCCTGCAACAAGAACCGTCTGTCTTCACAATTTTCTGATGGCTAATTGGAGATAAGAATCTCACAGACTTTGCTGAATGGGCTGATTTAAACCTCAATCCTCAGATCGTAGCCCCTAGCATTACAGGTATGGGTCACCAGTGCCCAACCTAGTCACTATTCTGAATTAACTTTAACTTCTGAATTAAATGTGCTAGGAACTTTAGGAAGAGGAAAAGAAAAAAAAAAAGGTTTTTTAGAATTCCAGAAATACGCTTCCGAATTTATGTATCATGCAAAATTCGGACACAGTCTGCATTGGAGGAAAGAGCTTAGTTTCTAGTTGAAGTGAGATTTTTTTTCTCTTTTATCTTTTTTTCTTGTTGTTTCTATATTTGAGTCAGGCTATTTATTTATTGTTATTGGTTGCGGGGCTTGAACTCTGGGCCTGGGCGCTGTCCCTCAGCTCTTTAGCTCAAGACTAGTGCTCTACCATTTGAGCCACAGTGCCACTTCCAGTTTTCTGATGGTTAAATGGAGATAAGAGTCTCACAGACTTTCTTGCCCGGGCTGGCTTTGAACCACAATCCTCAGATCTCAGCCTCCTGAGTAGATAGGATGACAGGTGTGAGACACCAGTGCCCGGCTAGGCCGGTTATTATTCAACAACAAATATATATTCATTGAAAGAAAACGAGAGACAAAAGTTCAGCTTCTTTCCATCTCTACTACCTCAGTTGACCTAAATGTATAGGAAAGAAGACAATGTGGGAAGTGCTTACAAATAACATATGTAATCAGGCCCCCATGAATGTCCTTGGCTTTTATGAGATGTTGATGTTTCTTGGGATCTGAGTGAAGTTGGAAAATGGAGGTTCAGGGTGGATGGAAGGAAGTTGGTAAGTAACTGCAATGACTGAGGGAAAGAGGCAGAAATATTTCCTCCTGGCTTGAGAGAGAGGTTTTTGGAAAGAGAAGAGAGAGAGGAGGTGGCCACATTTCCTACATCCTCTCAAAATTCTGCTGCAGAACCCATGTATTAGGTGATAGGAGATCTAGAAGGAGTTCCAATCAGTTTTGCCTCTGGGAACCTAATCTGACTTCAGCCGAGCTAATTAAAATGATTTTCCTTAAAGAAAACCAGAGTGTCCCAAGTCATGAGCTCATCTGATTGTCAACAGTGAGTGGCACACAGGAGTTGTTTAAATATTTGTTGGCTCAGTCAGGGGATGAATAATACACTCTGCCCATTACTGCTGGTATATAAAGGTCCGCAGGGGAGAAGAAGACATAGCCTTCTTCAGAATCCTTCTCCGACAACTCCCACACACACTCTGTCTTCTTGACAACATGTGCTGCAACTACTACGGCAACTCCTGTGGCTCTGGCTGCAGCTCTGGCTGTGGCTATAGTAGTGGCTATGGCTGTGGCTATGGTTCTGGCTGTGGCTATGGTTCTGGCTGTGGCTATGGCTCAGGCTGTGGCTATGGCTCAGGCTGTGGCTCTGTCTATGGCTGTGGCTATGGCTCCCGCTATGGCTGTGGCTCTGGCTCTGGCTATGGCTGTGGCTCTGGCTATGGCTGTGGCTATGGCTCCCGTTATGGCTGTGGCTCTGGATGTGGTTCTGGCTGTGGCTATGTCTCCGGTTATGGCTGTGGCTATGGCTCCCGTTATGGCTGTGGTTATGGAAGTGGCTATGGCTCCTCTTGTGGCTACCGGCCATTTTGCTACAGAAGCTGTTATTCTTCTTGCTGCTAAGACATTACTCTTAGAGGAACCTTGGTCTTGAAACGATACTTCTGAAGATAATGCTTCTTTGAGAATTCATAGCCAAGATTTCCGTTTTCAAGAAATGACAGGCTTGCTCCAGTCTTGGACCTCCAACTACGCACACCTTCCCACGGCATCTCTGAGGTCCTAGGTCCTCGGGCACCATCTCACTATTTTCAAATGTTAGCCTTTGCTTCCTTGAGCTCTGACTCTCTGGTCTGTGTTGATGACCAGAGAACCTACAATTAAAGAAATTATGTATTTTCAATAAACATTTTCCTTGGCTTTTCGCAGATCTTTGTGTACTTGCTGGTGAACTGCATGTTTGGAGTCCCTTGGACTGACACTACTGTGGCTGAGATTTAGGCGTTTCTTGCTCTATCACACTCAGGTCTTTATCATCACTAGTGTCTTCTCATCCTAATTTTCATGTACCACGTGCCTGAGCACTCACATACCTGAGCGCAAGTCATGGAATTGATTTGTTTCAGAATTGTGCTTTGGAAATGGCACTGTTTTTAGAGTGGAGAGGAAAGAAAGGGGGAGGGATAATGATCCAAGACAAAAGTGCCAGGCAGAGGAGATGTTGCCTACGAGCATAAAGAAGCTCATACTACTCCAGCTTGAGTATAAAAAGGAAGGCATTTTTTACAGAATTATTGAGAAATTAGTCAGGTGTTTGGCCCAGAAAAGGTATCTTGAAGAAAGGAGAAGTTAGAAGAAAGAATATGTTATCTCATAAGCTTCATTTGGTAGAGGGACAAATATATTAGTTTATAAATATTGAGGTTTATAGATAAGTGTTTGGTTCCCAGCAGTCCACATTCTAGCAGAGCATATAGAAAAACTACCAAAATAACGATGCATTGGGACACTTGTAATAGGATGAATGAAACAGCTTATTGCAAAAGAAAATGATTGACAGATACTTCATGAAAACATTTTGAAGTTGGGCCATTTGAGTGGATAATAATAAAAATGCTCATAGCAAAGAACAACTAGAAAGTTCATTATCAAGTTCAAAGGGCAAAGAATCCATTAACACTGGGCATGATTAGATATTCCTTCTTTATTAGTAAGAAACAGCTAGGTCCCGTTTTTTAGAGTGGAGTTCTTTTGCCCCGAGGTGGCTGTGGCCATGGAATTAAAATGCCCAGTGTAGTTCCTGATTGGCTTTCTAGAGTAGAGGGTATCCAACTTTTTGAGTTGTGACTGTGATGTCCTTTTGTCGTTTGACAATACACCACTCTGCCACTTAAATTCTATCTCAGAGAAAAAGACTTAGTAACAACCATATTTAATCAGTGGTAATAAATGACCCCACGAAGGGGTCATTATACAAAGGCAGAATCTTTCAGTACCCTGCAGCTTCAAGATTTCACAGAAGTCACCTGCAGAGATGATGGCTCTATAGTCAGTAGCCCAGGGAGTAATATGAGGGTTTATCTAGGGGAGAATTTGTTCAACTGAAAAAGACTCACACTTTCTTCAAAGAGCAGGATACTTTTTAATATCCGGTCCATATATAAGGTAGATCTGAGTACTTGTTCTGAAGTCCATATGATTAAAAACAGTGGAAAGGAATTCAAATAATGATAACTCTTTGAAAATCTTTCTGTTTTATTATGCTCCTTGTCATTGAAAGTATCCTGAAACAAGAAGGGATATCATTGAGAGGCATGTAGAAGATAATTTATATATCAAGGAAAGGATCTCCATCAAAATTGAAATGAGCTGGGTGCTGGTGGCTCACGCCTGTAAACCTAGCTACTCAGGAGGCTGAGATCTGAGGATCACAGTTCAAAGCCAGCCCAGGCAGGAAAGTCCATGAGACTCTTAGCTCCAATTAACCACCTGAAAACCTAAAGTGGCAATGTGGCTTAAGTGGTAGAGCACTTGTGTTGAGTTGAAGAGCTCAGGGACAGCGCCCAGGCCCAGAGTTTAAGCTCCAGGACAAACCAGAAAATAAAAAAATCTGGAATGATGTGATTTTCTTAGTCAAAGAGAATTTTGAACTTGTGTGAAATGAGAAAATGGAGATTATGCTGAGGAGACAGGGACTATAAATTTGGAAGTAGTTTGTGTATGGGTAGTATACACATGCTTGTGTGTGTGTGTATGTATGTGACAAATAAGTCTGGTAGAAGTTTAGAAAATAAATATTTTCCTTTACATATCTAATTTACATTATGGAGGGGAAGAACAGATAGTTTACACTAGGAAACTTTAAAACAATAGAAATGACTCTTTCAAATAAGCTTCTTTTAAATAAGGAAGCTCAGATGGTTTTCACTGATGATCCACTGCACCTTACTTTTAGAAACAAGTTAATGAATTATAGTAGAAGACCTTTTCTTTTTCTTCCTTTTTTACTTTTGGCAGAACTGGGGTTTCACCTTATGGATTTCTGCTTGGCTTGCCGAAATGATACTTTACCATTTGTGCTACTAATTCGCTAGTCTTGATTGTGGCTTCTTGTTCTGGAGATTGCATCACACTGATTTTTCCATTCTATCCTGTCTTTGACTGATAATCCTCCAGATCGCAGCTACTTGAGTGGCTAGCTTGTTTTCTGATGATTTAGTTTTGCCTTTTACTTTATCATCAAATTGCATTAAGTATTTGAACAGTTTTCCTTGGATTTGGTAGAAGGAAAAACTTATTTTTATTGTGAAGGGGAGTATGACAACAGTAAATATCAGCTGCCTAACATTGCAGAGTGGGAGGAAGTGAAAATGGAAAATAGTCTAACTTTACTCTAACATAAAGTGAGGGGATGGAGACTTATTTTCCCTGAAATTAAATTTAATATTCTATGCCACGAAAATGTGAAAGATGTAGGTTGTCAAAAATTCTTGTAAAATTAAATTGCTCTGTCTAGTCATGGTCTAGAAAAAATATCAGTGGAAGCATACAAATAAATAATATGTTAAAAACCTCTCAGGGAATAAAACTGGTGACATATTAATATGGAAAAGGCCATGGAGCTTGGAGGATTTGAATCAATGCTGAATATATTTTAGTGGAAACAACAGTAAGAGAGGACAATCATAATTAGAAGACACACCTAAAGTGGAAGGCTTTTATTTTCACATGGATATTGCTGACCTCTGGTACTTTCCGTCACCTTCCCTAAAACTCCATGTGTCTAGATTTGTTACTACCCAGGAGTAGGAACCTATATTTCATATCTTGAGTATCTTCCCTAAAAAATAGTTCCTTCCTGGCTGACTATTCTGCTCCTAATTTATTTCATTCAAGGGTTTGTACTTAGGCATTTGTGTTTTAAGCCTCTGACTTTATCTGTTGTTTTCAATATTAATCAGTATTCATGTCCTCATCCGTGGTGGTGCAAAAAGTGGGCTGGAAGGGAGAGGCAGAAGGCTTAAACGTAAGGCATACAGCTGGGTACTGGTGGCTCACACCTGTAATTCTAGCTATTCTAAAGGCTGAGATCTGAGAATATCATTTCAAAGCCAGTTTGGGCAAGAAAATTCATGAGACACTGATCTCTAATTAACCACCAAAAAGATGGAATTGGAGGTGTGACTCAAGTGGTAGAATACCAGCCTTCAGTGAAAAAGATAAGGGACAGTGACCAGGGTTTGAGTTCAGCCCCCGCACACACACACACACACACACACACACACACACACACTCACACGTTGTGAACCACAATAACTGGGTTATTGATTGAGATGAGATCTACTTTATAGCTTTGTGAGGGCTGACCTCAAATCTGGATCTTCCTGTTCTCTACCACCAGAGTCGCCATGATTAATAGTATAAGTCACTCTATTTGGCTCATACATTGCTTACAATATTTTAAGACATTGGCTAGAGCTCTCAAGTAAGCCTAACTTCTGATCACAAAAGCCAAAGTTTTAAATAGGGAGTTGCTGTTTTGTCATGATTTAAATATACTAAAACAGCTGCAGCCAACTTCTACATCTGTTCTTTAAAGTGTCTCATAAAAGATGGGTCTCTTGGAAAGAGCAATATTTTTATGTCAGCAGATATTAGAAAACCATTCTCACCAATGGCTTCAAGAACGGAGGATATTCTCAAGGAAAAATGAAGGGTGAAGGCTCTCTCAGTCATACCTGACAGAAGTGACTTGGGAACAAAATATTAAAACAAATTTTATCTAAGACCCTTGAGTTGCATTGAGGACAATGAGATCTTTCATGTATGTTTGGATTTTACAAAAGAACAACTAGACAAGTGAGATGTATGACCATCAGAAATGAGAGCTCACTGTTAACAGCAAGCATCTAAGCATTCAGAAGAGAAGATTTTATGTAGCATAATGAAGAATGCATTCTTGAACTTGAAAATATAGTAATTGTGTGGCTTCAGTGAGTTTCCTAACCTTTGTTCCTACTTTTATATACTATTTGTTGTCTGTGTCTTTCATAGTTTCATTGGATAAAACAGATTATAAATTATAAGAGAGTCAAAAATCTTTTTTTAAAGGATGTTAATTTGAACTAAATGAGCTCCTTAAATTGAGTATTAAGTATCAAGGAATGAGCCTAGCAGTAAAAATATGTTTTAGAAGTTATACTCATGGATGTTTGATTCATAGAAGTATAAAAAATTGAATTTCTGTATATAACAGCCTCTGATTTCACTGACATTGCCTACAAATTAATTTGAAATTAATGAGCTAATGGAAGTAATTAGTCAAACTTATTTTATTTCTTTTTGGTGCCAGTCCTAGGACTTGAACTCTGGGCCTAGGAATGTTCTCATAGAGCTATTCTGTTCAAGGTTAGTGCTCTTGCACTTGAACCATAGCTTCATTTCCAGATTTTTTTTGTCAGTCGTGGGGCTTGAACTCTGGGCCTGGACGCTGTCTCTCAGCTCTTCAGCTCAAGGCTAGCACTCTACCACTTGAGCCACAGTGCCACTTCATTTACAGCTTTTTTTGTGGTTAACTGTGGATAAGAATCTTATGGACTTTCCTGCCTGGGCTGACATTGAAC